TTAAAAAAAAAAAAAAAGCAAGCAAAATTGCAATTTTAGTCATGTTGGTTTGATACAGTGGCGATTTTAGTCTTAAAATTTTTTTACATTTTTGTTATTTGGTCCTGTGATGTTAAAATTAATATGATTTTAGTTGAAAATGCAACAAAATTTAAAATTAGAGGAATTAAATTGCTAATAAAATTTTTTTGATGGATTTGTTATTAGCAATTTAAGTCATGTAACTTAGTATTTTGTTGGAACTGAAATTGCAGCAAAATACTAAATTACAGGATCAAAAGACAAAGTTAAAATATTGAGACTAAAAATGTTATAACGTTAAATCAGAAATGCTATAACGAGGACTAAAAATGCAATTTTACCAAAAAAAAAAGAAAAAAAAATGAGGCTGACCTTGTCGCAACCAGGAACAATAGCCTGTAGCAGCTTCATTCTTTCACTTATTTTCTCCCTCCTCACCTGATACAACTTAATTGACTCTTAAAAAAAAAACAGTTATGAAAATTAAGAAAATAAAAAGCATACTAAAAATTCAAAAAAATAAAATAAAATAAAATAAATAAGAAGAAGAAGTACCCTTTCAGCAAGGCTATGGCTATCTGTGGCCTGGCCCCTTCTGGCCCTCACATGGATATATCCTATTGGAGCTTCCTTTTCTTCTATGCCCTTTTTCTTTTCTTCATTTGCACTTTTCACTTTCTTTATTTTCATTTCCCTCTTCACCTATATAAAAAATATAAAAAATAAAAAAAGGAAACAAAGTTTGTACAATAATAATAATTAGAAACAAAATTACACAATTATTTTTTGAAATTCATTTCCTTTTATTTGCATATGGAAACCTTGGGTTGAGCAGAATTTGCAGAAGAGCCCTCCTTGGACTTCCTCTTCTTGTTGTTATTAGTGAAGGGGTTTTCGCATTTAGTATCATGATTTTGGGGGTTTTTATTCTGAATTTGGTAAAAATGGGGAATTGGGGACAATTGGGGGTTGTTTGGCTCGTCAAGGTTATTGTTATTTGGCAGTAGGAACACTGATGAGTCGAGCAATGATGAAAAGGCTGCCATTTTTTTTTTTTAATTACCTTTTTTTTTTGGCTTTAATATGAGTGTGTGTTGCTTTGGAATTTTGTGAGGAAGTGAGAGAGAAACGTGAAGGAGAAAGTGATGAAAGAGAGATTCTTGATATTGATTATGCTCTATAAGTCTCTATATATGAGAAAGGGCAGCCAAAAGCTAAAATTTTGTAGGAAAAGTTGTCGGTCTGATTCTTAATAATACATTGTGGAAGAGAAGAGGTTTATATAAGCAGCAGAG